TGTCCTGACTTCCTTCAGTGATGAACAGTGATGTGGAAGTGTAAGCCAAATAAACCTTTTCTCCCTAACTTGCTTTGGTCCTGGTGTTTCATCCCAGCAATAGAAACCCCAAGACAGAAATTGGCACCAGGATAATGGGGTGTTGCTATGACAGATCTGACCATGTGTTTTGGGAAGAGTTGAGGAAGAACTTTGGAACTTTGGGCTAGAAGAGGCACTGAGTGTTGAGAGCTCTGTGGGATACTCTGTGGGAATTCGGAAGATGAGAATCTTGTGAGCCCTGTAGACAACGCAGGCCTGGCTTGTGAGGTTTCAGAGGGAAGGAAAGACTTTTACCGGGTGTCTTGTGTGAAAAATCTGTGGTGTCCGGCTAGCTGGAGCTTGATTAATGAGAGACAAGAAACAATAAAGTTAAAACTTTGTTTCGATAGGACAATGGATACTACCCAGCTGGGGTTGAAGAATCAGCTGCCGTGAAGAAGAGACCAGCATCACTGAGGTGATATCTTCTGGGAAGTGTTTCCTCAGGGTCAGCACACAGAAGCTGTGTTCCAGAAGCCACCAGTGGTGTACCTTGTGCTGGCAGCTGAACTTGGTAGTGTAAGAGTCACCAGGCAGTCTTGGTTTTGAAGGCATGAAGGGGTCATGGAGAACAGCTGAGGCTCAGCACTGTGTAGCAGGGCTGGGGTCCATGAAGAGAGAGCAGGAGAGGCTGTTGGTGAAGGTGCAGCCCAATTGCAGCAGGGACTCAGCATTTTGAAGATTCCCGTATCACGGGAGGACCACCAAGAGCAGCAGCAATGGAATGGGACTAGCTGGAGCCTGTGTGTGCTGCAGAGGGAGGAGCCCAGAAGATTGTGAGTGCAGCCCAGATAACTGGTGGTCATTGTCTCTGCCTCCCGTCTTGCAGAGGGCTTACAGATACGTGTCACCACACCGGGTGTGTGCAGATCTTGTGCAGTAAGTGCTTTCCCCATTGAACTGCCTTTCCAGCCCCTTGATAACAGAATTTTCTCTAATATGAGGTGTGAGGAAAGAGGCAGTCAGAGCAAAGGGTTCACCACACACCGAAGACCCACAGGAGCTTGACCACAGCCAGCAGAGGTTTTCCCCAACCCCAGGTCTCTGTCACACTAGTGTTCTTCCCTGCCTGCCATCACTGTCTGGCCCTACAGGGCTGGAGGTCCCTTCTCCCCTGAGCTCCCGTCTAACATTTGTACAGAGTAGCCCCAAAATGCTTTGAGGAGGGAAACTGGGGTGCCAACAATGGGGTTCATCTGCCTGCGTAACAAGAAGAGAGGGCACCAGTCCTTTGAGATTCTCCACCCAACGCTGCTCCCCTGGCCTGGCTGCGGGGAAGGACTCTGAGTTAATGGTTTGAGCCTCTCTGTCATTCACGGGCTTTGAGATGGACATAAAACCGATCTGGTGCCAAGGTTAATCTGAAGGTTAATTGAGTATTTGGTTCGCAGCAGGACAGATGAGAGAGATTCCATTTTCCTTCCACCCTCAGCCAAGCTAGGCGCCCATGGATGTGGATGTCTTGATGCGGGGCAAAACTGTACATTTGAGGGGCTTCCAAAGAGAGGAGGGCAAAATAAGCAGAAATGGATCGGTGTGTGTGTGTGTGTGTGTGTGTCCTCAACAACTTACTGGGTGGGGCTTGAAGCTGGGTGGGACTCACTCCTCAGAAACAAGAACCTGGGAGTCAATCGTTTTCCGAAGCATCTCGGTGAGTTTGCCTGGTTGATGTTCTCGTAAGCAGAATTGTATGCTTCTTGACTCATCATAAGAGCAATAGGCAGCAGCTTGTGTGCATGTGTGTGTGCGGGCATGTTCACGTGTGCATGGGTATGCGGAAGCACATGTATGTGTGTGCATGTAGAAGACAGAGGTTGATGTCAAGGGTCTTCTTCCACCCTATATACTGAAGCAGTCTCTCACTGGCTAATCAGCTTGCCTGGGGAGCCCTGCCTCTTCATAGTACTAGGGTCACAGGTGGGCTGCCACACCCATCTGGCATTTATATGAGTCCAGGAGCTTTGAACTCAGGTCCTCATGCTTGTGAGGCAAGCCCCACTGAGCCAGCTTCTCAGCCCCCACACCGCTCTAGAATGGAATTTTCCCTCTGAAGTGTCAGTTCAGAGGATCCCTGAGATGACCTTTGACTGGTCCTTTCTATGACTGATTCCTCTCAGCTCTCGATGAGGTAAGTCTCCCAAATTGGACCACCCCTCCCTCTTTTCCAGCTTGTGTGGATGTTGTCTTTGTAGCTGCAACATTTGGCCTCTCTCTCATTTGCTTTTTTTTCTTTTTTCATCCTTTCTTGGGAAGTGCTTCCTCCTGGCTACCCTCCCTGATTTACCCAGGCTGCCTAGCTGCACAGTCACCATTCAGGCAGTATTCTTGCCTCTCTGTGCAAGACTCACCTCTGGGAATCACAGACATTGATATCCCATGATCCCCACTGAAAATTAAAGAGACTGCAGCCAGAGTGAAGGCCTGGGTCATATAGCTGAGAAGAAAAGGAGGTAAAATTCTGTCACTGGCCTAATAAGAATCAAGGTTTGTGGGGGCTTTTAGCTCAGTTGGAGCAGGATGGCCATGGACAACCTTTGGAAACAGTTTCGCACAGTCAGTCTTAACACACATATTCCTGAGGAAAAAATAGAGGATCCAGAAATGAACCCACATGGAGACTGACATGTGATTTTTGACAAGGTGCCTGGATCAGACACTGGGCGCGGGAAAAAAATAATTTTCAACAGACAGTGCCGGGGAAAACTTGTAACATAACAGAAATGGATCTATTCCACTCTCCGAAAAACGCATTCAGCATGGATCAAAAAATTCACTTTAGTACCTGAAATTACAACCGTTAGAGGAAATTTAAGGAAACACTCTAAGACGCTGGCACACAGAGGGATTTCGGGGGGAGTCCAACGGCCCGGGGGTGGGGGGTGGGGCGGGAAGCAGCAGCAAGAATCAAGGGACGGGACCGCAGGGAATTCGAAAGCAAGAGAAGTCACCAGCAGAGCTAAGAAATGACAGTCCAAGTGACTGATCTTTGCCAACGCCACATCAAAGGACTGATGGCTACTGTCTGTAGAGACCATAAAAAATAAACAGTCTCCAATCACCCTATAAGTCAATGAGCAAACGAACCGAACAGACAGGTCCCCAAATGCGATCACAGGCATTTTAAAGATGAGAAAACATCCAACGTCCTTAGTCACAAAGGACAGACAAATTAGAAGTTCATTTCGCCGGAGTCGGTATGGTTGTTGTTAAGACTGTGAATGACTACAGATGCTGACACGAATGCGAGCGAGGGGAACACTTTGTCATTGCAGGCAGGGTAGCACTAGGACCACCATGTTGGGAACTGGGATGCGGGGGTCTCCGGAAGCTGAAAGTAGAAAGTAGGACCCCAGGCAGTTCTCTGGGGAGTCTCCACAGGACGTAAGTCAGCCTTTCACCGAGAGCTCGCACACGCAGGCCGACTGCTAGTCACGTGGGCCAAGCGAGGCGGCTAGCTTAGACATCTGCGGACAGACGCGTGGGTAACGAGAACGTGGTGTGTTTGCGCGGCAGGTTGTCTTCGGCCATCAAGAAAAATGAAATTATGCCATTAGCATGAAAATAGATGGAATTGGAGATCATTATATTTAACAAGATAGCCAGACTCAGATGCTACATTTTCTCTCATATGCAAAAAAAAAAAAAAAATCTAGATTTTTTTTTAAGGATAAGGGAACTTGTTTGAGGGGACTTAAAGAGAGTTGGGGGCAAGCCAGGGTGGGGATGGATCTGGTCAAATTGCATCATAGACACCATCACTTCACACAATGAATACACGCTACAAAGATGGCTACTAGGCCCGTGGGACCCGTCTGCCGCTTGGAGAGCCAGAGGCCCTGAGACTCTTGCTTCTGGCCTCTTCCCAGACACCTGGGTCTGCCAGAAAACCTTTTTTTTTTTTTTCTCCAGACACCACCATCTGTCCCTGTCTCCATCTCACAGAGGGGAGCGGGAGGAGGTGGCTGAGAGGCCACCAGAGGCTGCTGCTCTCTTTGCCCGTGAAGCCTCAGCTGCCTCCCTTCCGGCAGTCCTTGGAAGCTGCCCTCCCGACATCAGATGCAAGAGGCCAGAGACAGAACTTTCACTCTGGGCTCAGAGTTGCCTTCCTGGGGAGCTGGGAGATATTCTGGATTATCACATTGTGGTTGTGCCCAGGGATTCGGGAAGCAGCCTAGGGCAGCTCTCCCCATTCACTCAGTACTCCTCAGTCACCAAGTGTAGACCAAGGTCTGTATTAAACCTGAGAAAAGCAAAGTAAGGCAATGCCTCAACTGACAGGGACATGTGTACTTAGCCACAGAAGGCAAGGGTTCTCAGCACAGCATCCTTCACTGCTGCCCACACTGGCTGTTTGGTCCTTCAAAAATTGGAGGCTGGCAAGATGCCTCAGTGCACAAGGGCACCCAGTGCCAAACCTGACTCCCAGTTTGGTTCCTTGGACCCACAGGTAGAGGGAGAGTACCGACTCCCACAAGCTGTCCCCTGATTGTCCTGCACACGCCATGACAATCACACTCCCAACCCCCACTCACAATGGATACATATTAATACAAATAAAAGGACCCTTGTACATCTGTACATAGCTTTGCTATGGAAGCCCTTCCTCTCCTCCTCCTTTATGTAAAATCCCCTGTGGCTGTGACCCTTCCTTAGGCTGACAACTGAAGTCACGCATATGCTTATCTGTGTACACCCTCCCTGGACATCAGTCTCTGTAGTGGAAGGATTTAACAAGAGTAGGGACACTCGCTTCGAGTGCTGCTGGTTGTGTTGCTATAGCAATCCCAGAGCTCTGCAGCTCCCAGGCATGTACTAGATGTACAGTTAATCCTGACTGGACCAATACAGCCGAAGTCAGCTCCTCCCCATAAGCCTGCCTGCTGCGGTAGACCTGGGTGAAGGGTGCCTCAGACACTCACAACTGAATGTCCAGGAAGATCCGCTTCTCCTCCCCAACGTGGATTTTCCACACACAGTCTTCGCCTTCTGCATAGGGCTCTGGCCAGTTTGGAGACAGCACCACCCCAGCCACAGCTGAGAGCTCCCCACCACACATGGCTGTAACAGACAGACAAGAAGACACCCTTGTGAGGAAGCAACACAGCATAGTGGTTAGGAGTTTGGGGGGAGCATGAGGTTGGCATCTGTGGGTCCCTGTGTAGCACGGGGTGGAGTGGGGGGCAGCATGTGTGTCTATGTGTGTGTGTGTGTATGTGTGTGTGCATTTACATGAGTGTGCATGTATGCGTGTGCATACATGGGCCTGTGTGTGTGTCTAAGAAGGCTACTGGTCTCCCTTTCAGTTCCGAAAGGGCAGAAGTTGGCAGTGTCTTCCCCATTAAGGGTAGCCCCAAGTTCCCGCTAGTTCCCACTGTCCGGTCAGCTTTGGATAAGGTGTGTATATGGTCTGATAGCATCTGACCCCTGAGAGGTCAGAAAATGCTCTACCAGCCCACTGGCTTATGAAGGATCATGACTGAGGTTACCATGCCAGCTTTCAGCACCTCGTCTGGCCCCAGTGTGTGCTCAGGTGGCGAGCGGGCACCAGTCTCTGAAAGGGTTAACCTGGACTGGCAGCCGAGATGCAGAGGCTGGTCTCCCAATCCTGGCCCTCAGCATGGCAGAGGCCAAAGCCTCAATACATTCTTCTCGCTTAGTGAACCACGTTTAGTTCAGGGGTCAATCCCTCACCAGGGCAAGGCAAAGACTTCATGCTAACTGCTAGGTAGTTGCCAGGAGTGAGGGCATCCTTCATTCCCCCACATGCCAGGGTTCAGTGACCTTGGATATAAGACCTAGGTTGCCAGTGTAGGTGAAGGTTGTCACAGCCAATATTGTCCGGGCTCTGAGCACAGGGAGGCTAAGCCTACTGTTTCTTCCAGTGACCCTAGAATGTTCTTGGGTATATTCTCTCCATGTCTGATTCCTCATCATGAATAGAGCTGTGTATGTGGCTGTAGAAAGGGCATTGTCACATGGGACACGCAGCTCTCAGCAGCGTGCCCGGTTATGATCAACAGTGACGGTCACCCATGTCACCCAAGGTTACCATGTGCTGTTGACTGGGTTATACACTGCCACAGAATGTGAAGCAGGGTGGATCTATGGGAGCTGACAGCCTTGCAGGGCTCACCCGTCACAGCTGCTGCAGGTCCTGGGCCTGCAGGAAGGGGCAGCATTTTCTGATTACTCCAAGAACCAGCAGCAACCAGACGCAGAGGACCATTGGTCTGGAAAAAGTCTTAAAACCACTGTGTAATGTGGCTACCCCTTCTAGGCTGGGGCTTGTTCTTTGCTGGAGGCCCTGGGCATTCTGGCCTTGGGGAAGGTGTTGGCTCACCTCTGCATAGAGGCTCCGTGTCATTCCAGTATGGGTCACGCACATTGACGCACTCAATGACAGCTGGGCCCTGTTCCAGAGAGTGGCCGGGGTCGCAGGTGAACTCCACGATGGTGCCAATGTTATAGGTGGGGTCCGATGTGGTGAAATTCCCGTTTTGGATGTAGGGTTCATAGCAGTGACCTTTCTCAAAGGCTGAGGTGGGGACACAGAGAGGGTTAGTGGGCAGATGAGGTAAAACAGCCCTTACTGCTTAGACATAACGTAAAGGAAAAGGCACTCCCAAGCATGGGTGCTTGTGTCTGTAAGCCTAGCTCTAGAGAGCCTAAGACAGGCAGGCAAGCCTGGGCTACACAGTACTTCCCAGGACAGCCTGGGTTTCTGAAGAGACCCTGCTCCAGAACAGAATGCTTCTGACCTGGGCCAGGCACTTGGACCCTTGGGCCTCGTGTTTCTTAGTGTGATACAGATAAGACCATCTGCCTGAGGCCCTACATTCTCTCTATGCCAGCACTCTGGGTCCTGCCTTTGGATACATAATGTCTGACCATTGGATACATAATGTCTGACCATTGGCTATACAATGTCTGTCCCTCAATGGGATCACCCACTTCCAGGCAAGCCTGAGCGGCAGTCCTTAGGGTACATGGAACAACAAAGTCTGTCTGGGTCAGATAGCCTATTCCTGGAAGGCTAGACACCCCCCCCCCAAGCATTGCTCGAGGGGAGCAGAGGAGGGCAGGCTGGCAGCCATTGCAGCTACCTTGTAAGTGAAGCTTCAGATAGGCTTGCTGGCTTCTCTACTGTGAGAGGAAACAACAGTTCTACATCTCTGTGTGGTGAGTGTCACACAGGGAGTGCACACAAAAGTCTGGTGGAGTGGCATGCAGTTATGATTCCTTCACCAGGGAGGCAGAGGTGGGAGATTGTGAGTTCAAGGCCAGCCTGGAAGATTAGAGTCACCCTGGCTCAAAAAGCCAAAACAGAAGGCAGAAGGGGATGGAAATACGGCTCCATTGTCAGGAGAGTTTTGCCTAGCATTCGAGAAACCTCAGGTTTGATCCCCAGTGCTGCAGGAGCTAGGCGACGTGGTTTATAGGTGTAATCCTGGCACTTGGAAGGGAAAGGCAGGAGGATCAGAAGTTCAGGGTCATCCTGGTCTGCTTATTGAGTTTGAGGCTAGCCTGAGCTACATGAGATCTGCACTTAAGACAGCCTCTCAAAAGAAAGAAATGAATGAATGAATAAAGAAAGAAAGAAAGAGAGAAAGGAAGGAAGGAGGGAGGGAGGGAAGGAAGAAGAGAGGGAAGAAGGAAGGAAAAGAGGGAAGGAGGACTAGGCACCAGCACAAGAGCTGCTTAGAAGGAAGAATGTATCAATACAGTAAAACTGAAAGCCTGTCTTGGAAATCCTGGGGCAGTCTGGGTCCCTCACTCATCCCCCATCCCAAGCCCCGGTTCATCCCTCACCCACTTTCACTGGCCCCAGATCTGACAAGGAGGGGGTCTCTTACCCTCAAAGCGGATGTTGAAGGAAGAGGCTGCCTGACCCTGGTCTGACATGAACTCGATGCGGATACTGCTGCCCTCGCTCAGCAGGCCCTCGAAGGGCACACTCTCCGTTCGGAGTGAATCGTACAGGAGGGCCGACTCGTTTGTTCGTCCACTGTAGACAACCATCCTGAGCAGAGAAAGGGCAGAGGGAGGCTGACATGTCTTCCGGGGTGTACTGGCTGGTTTTGTGTGTCAACTTGACACAAGCTGGAGTTATCACAGAGAAAGGAGCCTCCCTTGAGGAAATGCCTTCATGAGATCCAGCTGTAAGGCATTTTCTCAATTAGTGATCAAGGGTGGGAGGGCCCACTGTGGATGGTGCTATCGTTGGGCTGGTGGTCCTGGGTTCTATAAGAAAGCAAGCTGAGCTAGCTTGGAAAAGCAAACCAGTAAGTAACATCTCTCCGTGGACTCTGCATCAGCTCCTGCTTCTTGCCCTGCTTGAGTTCCAGTCCTGACTTCCTTTAGTGATGAACAGCAATGTGGAAGTGTAAGCTGAATAAACCCTTTCCTCCCCAACTTGCTTCTTGGTCATGATGTTTGTGTAGGAATAGAAACCCTGACTAAGACACGGGGTCAGTGACATTAGGCCAGAGTGGAAAGGGTGTGTGTGTGATGCTCCCCAGTTTCTCCATCCTGAACTCAAACCCTGGCTCTTTAGTCTTCCTCATCCCTCATGGACATGAAACTGATTGCTTGTTCTGAATCAGTCCCTCAGGGTGCAGGGTGGGTTGTGGTGAATGAGGGGCACCCAGGGTAGTTACTGTGTCATGGGTTACTCTGTGCTGAGAGGGTGGGGCTTGGCCAGCAATGTTCGGTCAGGCTGTGTCCCACTATGCAGGATGAGGCTTGCCACCTGGCCTGCCTAACTCTTCCAGCTGAGTTTCTCCATCCCTGCCCCCTGTCTTCCTGGGAGCCAATGCTGTGTGTGCAGTACTTGTTCTCCATGGAGCCTAATCGTGGCTTTGTGCAGACAGGGTGGTCAGTAGATGTCTTATTCCACTCAGGAAAGAGATGCCTGGGTGGAAGCCCCAGGAAGTGTATATGTGTGTGTGCGTGCATGTGTGTATGTGTGCCTGTTTGTGTGTATGTGTGCATGTGTGCATGTGTGTGTACATACATGCCTGGGTATGTAGATGTGTATGTTTGCATGCATGCATGAATGTGTGCATGCGTGTGTGCATGTGTGTGTGTGCATGTGTGTAAATACCTATATGTGTGTATGCATGCATGTGTGTGTGTGCATACATGCCTGGGTGTGTAGATGCATGTGTTTGCATGCATGCATGAATGTGTGCATGCAGGTGTATGGGTGTGCATGTGTGTACCTGAATGTGTGTATGTGTGCATGTGTGTGTGCATGCATGCCTGGGTGTGTGGATGTGTGGATGTGTGGATGTGTGGGTGTGTGCATGAATGTGTACATACAGGTGTATGTGTGTATGCATGCATGTGTGTGTTCATGCATGCCTGTGCCTGTGTATGTGCGAGTAGGTGTGTGCACACATGAATGTGTGCATGCAGGTTTGTGTGTATGTGCCTGTGTACGTGTGTGAGCATGCACATGTGCCTGTGTGTGTGCTCGTGTGCACACATGTGTATGTGTGTTTCCCATCCCCTTCTTTCTTTGATTCCTAGGAGGCTCAGGAAGGCTCCTTTCCCACTGAGTGCCTCAGTCTCCTGGCAGAAGCAGAAGGTCACAAGCTCTTCCTCGATCTCCCCAGTGCTGTTTTTCCTGGGGTTCAGCCACACCCAGATGACACACCCCACCCTCTCTAAGCTGGGGAGGGGGCAGTCGGTCTGAACAGCTCACCTGTCTTTCTCATGCAGCAGGAGCCTTTCAAGATGCAGGTGAAGCTTCTGACCCTCTGGAGCCTCAATGGTCCACACGCAGAGCTGGCTGCCATTGGCGTTTCCCGGGTAACTGGGGGAGAGAACTCGGCCGATGGTGGCATTGTGCACTGCTCCTCCACACGGGGCTGGGTGCAGATAGTGATATACCAAGTGGTGAGGGAACAAGAGAGGAGTGGTGGGTTGGGTCTCCCCTGACTGCATCCAAGCCCTCTAGCTAGGATGAAGATGGGAACACATGGAGGGGTCTGCTGTCCTGTTAACCCTCTCCATGTCTGGATCCACCAGACAACTCTAATGCTGCAGGGAGGCCCTCAACTCAAGACTGTTCTGTGGTGCTGATTGTACCTAGACATTCATTAAAAAATTCACATTCATTCATTCATGTGTGTGCATGTGCGCACACGTCACAATGCCTGTGTGGAGGTCAGAGGACAACCCACAGGAATCAACTCTTTCCTTCCACCCTGTGGGTCTTGGGGACTCAGCAGTCAGTGTGTTAAGTCACCGAACCATCTCCCTGGCTCGATGCCTAGACTTTCAGTTATGAAATGATTCCCAAGGGCAGACAGAGGCAGTTCACGGGAGAAGCATGCATTTAGGACTGCATGTGGAGTGTAAGAATGGAAGAATCTCCAGTTGTGTTCTACTTTACCCGACCAACGGCCGGCTGAAATAGATCAATAAAACAGCAGTTCGGGCTGTAGGCATAACCTTACTTATTCACGACGATCTCACCAGGAGGATCGTGACCATTTCCCGAGGTGCAATTCAGCAAAAAAACCGCTTTTAAAACCATGTCGGAACACCCTGACCTAGAAACAAGCCCTGGGAGTGTATCCTATGGAAAGCTTCGGAGATCTGAACTGGCTTCGGATGAGGCTGTGCAGCTCTGCCTTCACCCTCAGATTCAAAACCAGAGCCAGGGTGCATCTCCCTGCACACATTGGGTTTTCACGGAGCCATCCAACACTGCGTTCTCAGACACTGTTTACGAATCCCAGAGCTTGAAGAAGCATGCCAGCAAATGGCCTGCCTCATCCATTCCTGGGAGCTATCTGCAAGGGTAGATTGAGACCACAGGATATAAAAGTGATTTGTTCTCATCTTCTGTACATTTGTGTTTCTGGAATTTTCTTTTAACCAGAGCCATATAACACTTTTACGTTAAGATAATATGTCGTGGTGACACTGCAAATGATTTGTGGCCCACGGGAGCCGCTCTGCTGTCAGACGACAGCAGAGAGGAGGTGCCTGTACCCGGTCTCAGGGGATCGAGGTGAGCGTCTGTTTTAATGTGGTGTTTGGAAGAGTTGATCCAAAGGTCCTTGAAGAGGGTTGAGAACACACAGGAATCTTTCTTGACCAAGCACAAGTCTCTGGTTTCTCCCCCAGCATCAGAGGAGCAGAAATGCACAGGCAGGCGGATCAGACCGGTTATGCTGTGGAGCTTGTCTCTTCTTCAGAGGACAAAGACTCCTGGCTCCTCCCCCATGTCTTGAGAGTCCGGTCTCCTCAAGTCCTTTCCCCCTTTTTCTTTTAAAGACAAGATTTCGTGTAGTCTAGGCTGGTCTTCAAATTCACCTTGAAGATGACCTTGAACCCCTGATCCCCTTGCCTCCAGCTCCTGAGATTCCACACAAGCCGGGGATGGGACCCTGGGACTTTGTGTGTGCTAGGCGAGTGTTCTGATTAATGTGTCTTAGCCGCTTACCACCATCTCTTGAGTTCTTCACATGTCTTCTCACCAGCGGGGGACACATCCCTCTGCCTTCTAAGAATTTGTCTGCAAAACACATCTCCTAACATCTTTGGCTCTCGGCTGTGACGACAGTAGGTCCTAGTGGCTCCCGGCACCAGATGACATGATTTGTAGTATATGATCAATAAATAGTAATTTCTATTTATTTAATTCTTAAAAAGTTGAGAAAAGAGGTCTCCCTTTGTAGTCCAGACTGGCCTTGAGCTGTGAACCTTCTGTTTGAACTTCCCAAGTGCAGAGATTTCAGGCATCTGTTCAGACTGTTGAATGACAGCGTGGTGGGGTTGGGTTGGCAGGAGGAGACAAGCTGTGACAGCTTTCCTCTGCCCTGGGCTGGACTGTGTGACAGGGTAGACAGAAACCATGCTTCTTTCCTGAGATTCCTTTCCTATTCCATCCCAGGGTCACCATCTGTCTGTCAGTCAGCCTGAGGCTCAAACCTGTATTGTGTTGTGTACCTGTGATGAACTTCACACAAGCCGGTGGTGTCCTTGGAACCTGAGCTGTGCCAGCGGTGACAGGGGCTGGGGGAGGGGGGAGACATGGTCTCACTCCTGACAGATTCCTCACAAGGAAGGGCTGCTGATTCCCATCCTGTTCCACCGTCTTCTTCTTACGATAGTATAGTCTTTCAGGTTTTATGTGTGTGTGTGTGTGTGTGTGTGTGTGTGTGTTTTCTTCTTTTGCTTGCTTGTTTTGGAGACAAGGTCTCACTATGTAATCCCAGCTATCCTGGAACTCACTGACCTGGCTGGCCTTGAATTTACAGACGTCCATCTGCCTCTGCCTCCCAAATGATGCTGATATATGCTCTCTTAGTGAGGGTTTTACTACTGTGAAGAGACACCATGACCAAGGCACGTCTTATAAGGACAACATTTAATTGGGGCTGGCTTACAGGTTCAGAGGTCAGTCAATTATCATCAAAGAGGGAACACAGCAGCATCTAGGCAGGCCTGGTGCAGGAGGAGCTGAGAGTTCTACATCTTCATCTGAAGGATGCTAGCAGAATACTGACTTCCAGGCAGCTAGGATGAGGGTCTTAAAGCCCACACCCACAGTGACACACCTCCTCCAACAACGCCACATCTACTCTAACAGGACCACACCCACTCCAACAAGGCCACACCCACTCCCACAAGGCCACACCCACTCCATCAGAGCCACACCCTCTAATAGTGCCACTCCCTGGGCCAAGCATATACAAACCATAACATATGCTGGCTTCCTCAAACCTACTGAACCCTTTCACCCACCGGCCTTTGCACAGGATAGCTCACCTTTGATCTTTACTTTGGTACCTTTCACTCAGCTTCCAACAACCTGGCTCCATGGGACTCCTTCCCTAGTCTCTGGTCTACCATCACCTCTTGTCCCTGTCTATTCTGTCATGGTGACAGGGTTTCTCTTGCCCCTACCTGCTCTGTGACACTACCCCTATGACCCCTCTCTGGCACTCTCTGCACCACCACAGCCTCTCCCCCAACATGTTTTCCCATCTGGTCACAAATTGTGTTGATTTGAATAAGAATGGTCACTCACCCCATAGGCTCATTTATTTGAATGCTTAGTCACCAGGGAGTGGAGCCGTTGGGGAAGGATTAGGAGGTGTGGCCTTGTTGAAGGAAGTTAGTTTCTGGGGGTGGGATTTGCAGTTTCAAAAGCATGTGCCAGGCCTATTGTGTGTGTGTGTGTGTGTGTGTGTGTGTGTGTGTGTGTCTGTCTGTCTGTCTGTCTGTCTCTGTCTGTCTCTCTGCTTCCTGCCTATGGACCATGATGTCAAGCTCTCAGTTACTGCTCCAGCCCTGTGCCTGTCTGCTTCCCGCCGTGATGATCATTGACTCACGCTCTGAAACTGTAAGCAAACCCCTGTGAAATGCTTTTATTGTTTTTTTGTTTGTTTGTTTTTAAAGACAAGTTTCCATAGTTACAATGTTTCCTCACAGCTGCAGAGCAGTCACTAAGACAGCGGAGACTCCCAGAGAGCCAGACCCTCACAGCTCCAACCATGGGCGCAGAACCCGGTAACAGTGGACACTCGTGGATGCTGACAGGATCCTTAAAAGATGACAGATCCACCAGCCAAGGATTACCGCTGTCCTTGAAGTGTAGGTTTCCACCTGTGGGCCTGCACCATCCTCTTCTGTCCACCAGAGGGCGCCAGACCACCTTAGTTGGAGGCTGACACCAACTTCTGAGTTTACCTTGACTAAGCTCAGACAGCAAAACAGAACAGCAGCAGCCACCCCCAAGGTGCAAGCAACAAAAGAAACAAGGGAAGAGCGAGACCTCATCATTAAAAAGAGGGTAGAGTCACAGGTCGTATGAAAACATTAACCAAAACCAAAACTAAAAAAAACACCCACAGAACAGAGGGAGAGGCTTACAAATCAAATCTTTGATTTGTGGAAGGTTTTGATCCACCATATGTAAAGAGCGTTTACAGTACAGCAACAACCAGTAGCCTCTTGGACAATGGGGTAAGGGGTTGAAAAGCCTTTTCAGAGATGGCGTACCGACAGCTACAAGAAGCATCGGGAAAGACACGTGACATCATGGAAACATGAGAACATGGAGGACAGTCTGTAGCCGCACTGTGCTGATTACAGAAAATAGTCGGTGAGCATCGGAAGGAAGAGAACCGCTGTACCATCATGGCAGGTGAAATGGCGTGGCTGCTGCTGGAGGTGTGGGTCTGTATGGGTTACACTACATGACCTGGAAATGCTGTTCTGATAATTGTATGTAAGAGAAATGGAAACTAATTTCCATGTTCAGAGCAGAGCAGTTACTTAGATGAAAAGTGGAAATAATTCCAAAGCCCAATGATGGAACGGGTAAACAAAATGGAGCATAGAGCTCACAACAAAATACTACGCAGCCATGAAAAGGAACAGTGTGCTTATGTACACCGCAATGCAAGCAGATCTTGGAAACCCCATGGTGCATGTGCCACTGCGTGAGGTCTCACAAATGACAGATTGCAGAGAAGAATGCTTAGCATCTAGGATAGACAAGGAAGACAACCACCACTACCAAGTCGGCTGTTGAGTGACTGCTAGAGAGCAAGGTTCCTACTGGACAGAACACTACTGTGTGGTAAGTGTCCTCAGGAGCCAATTTCATACCCGGGGCACTGTACTACTGCACAGCCTGGAGGGCAAAAGCCTTATCTGAGGTTACTCCCCGAGGTTCTAGAGAGGTGGTTCTCAACCTGTGGGTCGCGACCCCTCCAGGGGTTGCGTAACCTTTCCACAAGGGTCATATGTCAGATACCCTGAGTATCAGACATTTACATGACAATTCATAACAGTAGCAAAATTACAGTTATGAACTAGCAATGGAATGATTTTATGGTTTGGGGTGAGCACAGCACGAGGTCTAACCACCGCCATAGAGGATGCTGCCCCCACTCCCGCCCCGCCCGGCTGACGAGCACGGGTGGTACCTGAGCAGACAGGCTCCTGGCTGCTCCAGTGCGGTTTGGAGGCATTGATGCAGGTCAGCGTCTTGGCTCCCTGCAGCTCGTAGCCCAGGTGACAGTGGAACTGGGCCACCCCGCCAGAGTGCAGATCCATCACGGTGACGTCTCCGGCGTCGGGACGCCGGGGAAAACTGCAGCTCAGCATGAAAGCTGCGGAGAAGGGAGCAACCCACGCGCATCAGCCGTGGGCAGCGTGGTCGTGGGACCCACATCCTGGCAGCGGCTCTGTGCTGGGGATGAAGGAGCGGCCCGAGTGAGGCAGGCTGGGTGCTGGCGCTGCAGGGCCGGGCCAGTTGATTCTCTACCTGATTTTGGGGAGGTGAGGTCTCCTGCTGGCCAGGAGCTTGCTGATTTGGCTAAGCTGGCAGGAATCCTCCTGTCTCCACCCCTCACCACTGGGCCTACAGGTGAACCCCGCCTTGACTTTCTATGTGTGTTCTGGGGATGGGAGCACTGTTCCTTATGGGGATGGGAGCACTGTTCCTTATGGGGATGGGAGCACTGATCCTTATGGGGATGGGAGCACTGTTCCTTATGGGGATGGGAGCACTGTTCCTTATGGGGATGGAAGCACTGTCCCTTATGGGGATGGGAGCACTGTCCCTTATGGGGATGGGAGCACTGTCCCTTATGGGGATGAGAGCACTGTCCCTTATGCTTGCAGGGCAAGCTCATTCCCCGAGCCCTCTCCAGTTTCAAAATTATTCATCTTCCTCTCTTGGCTTTAACAACCATTGCTCTCAGTCAGGGAAGAGGATTCTGAGGACTTAATCAGAGTGCCAGTGGGGTCCCTGGCACACACACACACACACACACACACACACACACACAAATCCCAAGAGTGTGACTGAGTGTCAGAGGGAAGTGAGACCATCTCCATCTGGCTGGCCTCCGCGGATCCTACCCTGGTAATGTAGCTGGAAGGTCCCGAGGCCGTCATCCTGGAAGGTCCGGAAGTAGACAGAGATGGTGTTGGTGGGGCTGCGGATCACCTGGCCCTCCACCAGGAGAGTCTGGTTGGCTAGGACTGTCAAGGTGGGACCGTCCACTCCTCGGATGGAGAGCAGCTCCCCCTCAGATAGGTTGACACTCTTCACCTGGGAATCCATGGGGTAGACAGAGAGCTGGGGTAACAGGCAGAGAGAGACTCCTGTGCTTACTACTGCACTGGGTACTGAGTGGTCACAGACTCAGCACAGTCTATCTTGTCTGTCTGGACCGACGAGCTGGCAAACAAGTGAGGGTGCGCTCGTTTCTAGGTCCCTCTTGGCCCTCTCTCTCTCTCTACTGTGACTGCACTCCAGGGCGAACCCACCTTTCTCCAGGCACTTGCTGTTACTTTTGCTGTCTATGCTGGAGGGGGTGGGTGGGAGGTACTGTGCACCCCTACACACACATGCACGCATGTGTTATATGTGATGCCTGCTAATGTTTAATAAGCAGGACATTAAGGGACTTCCTTTCTGGGTAACACATCTAATGTTTTGTCAGCACATCCCTGCCACATCTTCAGGCTATACACTTGGGAACACCCTCTCTATAAAACCCAACTAAAATAACCCCTATTTAAGGAAAGGAGACGTGACAGAAAGGGCAACTGAGACCAGGAAGGCCTAGCACTCTAGGCTACCTGTAGTTCTACCCCGTAGCCAGTGTAGACCGTCACGTTGTATGTGCATTCCAAGAAGCTGCTGTAGGGCTGCGGAGGGAAATCACTTGAGTCAATGTATCCCTCGGGGTCCGAGAAGCTCACTCCACAGAGAGCTACGGAGAAACAAATGTTGCCATCAGGATACACAGGGCTGGGGCCAGCCTAGGAGCTCACTCACAGATGTGCCATGGGGTGGAGCCTGACCTCTTGGGGATCTGGGCTCTACTGTATGTCCACCCCACTCCATCTTCCCCTGAAGTTAACACAAAACCAAAGCCAGGTATGACTCTGTTGCTGGGGAACAGGAAGGAGAAGCTGCAGGGGCCGGGGGAAGAGTCTGAGGAGGGTATCTATGGAAGTGCGGGGGTGGGGGTTGGGGGCTGGGGGGGAGCCTCGTGCTGAACTCCGCCCTGTCCTGACTGCAGTAACAAGTCGCCAAGGGCAGCCCCACTCAGTGTTAGATGGAATGCCAATCCATTCCCACCTCAAGGACAGGCAAACCAAAGCACAGGAAGAGCCCCGCCTAGACTACGCTCACACAGCACACACGGTTCAGATCCAGCAGTCAGCCTTCAGTTGTATGTCCAAAGTGGCGTGCCCACCGCAAAGGGCAGTATAAAGATGACTTCCTGTTAACCAGGGACCTCCATAATCTGCCCCAAAGATGCTCTAGCAAGGGCATCTAGTTCCAGGTCAATCTGAAAAGCCTGTCCCAGCTCAAAGACCTCCCACCGTGCTGTCATATAAAATCCGATTGCTTTTTCAACTTTCTGCTCTTCTCTCTGGGAGCCCTGTTAGCATTTTGTCTAAGCTCCGCCCCACAGTTACCTGGCAACAGCCAGGTAGGCCTGACTCACCATAAAAGGGGCTGCTTGCCCCCTCTGCTCTCTCTTGCTCTTGCCTTCTTGCTTCTCCTCCTCCCTCTCCCCCTTCCCCCTCCCCTCTCCCTCCCCCTCTCTCTCCACATGCTTATGGCTGGCCTCTACCTCTCTATTTACTCTCTCTCTCTGCCTTTCTCTGTCTCCACTACCCTCTCAACTCCCCTCCCCACGACCCGAATAAACTCTATTCTATACTATACCATTGTGTCCCTCAGAGGGAAGGGATGCTTCAGCGCCGGCCTGCTGAGACACCCTCTTCCCCCACACCTGACTACACAGCCACCAAACGTATTCCTTCTCTCCTTTTATCTTTATCTAAACACAAGAAGCCCCGCCCCTCCCGAGGGGTGTGTGTGTGAAGATAGCCTTGGAAGTTTGTTCCCCAATAAACCTTTCTTTCTACTCACGGTTTCTACTCTAGTCTAGTTCCGTGGTTTCCCTACACCCTCGCTTTTGCACAGTGAACAGCCAAGTTGAGGCAAGCTTGACCAGTGAGGCCCCAACACAGAGAGAGACATGGAGCCCAGGCTGGGATCGCAGGCTCAGCAATCCATCCACATGGTGGTGGGGGCTCCGTGGTTCACTTGCATACCGGCTTCCACCTAAGCTCCAGGCCCTTCCATAGGAAGGTTCAGGAAGTGAGCATCTTCCTAATTTAGGCTCAATCACCTGCAGTGAACCCCCAGCCCTATGACGACAGAACGCTGTGTGAGCAGCTCTTTTATGGTTTAGGGACTAGAATGAGGAAGAAGTCTGGGGGTTCACAGGACTGATATAACTAAATTTTCTGAATACTTTGGCTGTCTGTACGGACGAGGAGGACAATGTAAGGGAGGACCAGTAGACTGGAAAATTCAGTGCACGTTGCACGTGGGCGTGGCTCTATAATAGAGCGCCTGCCTAGCTAGCATGTGCCAGACCTGAATTCTCTTCGCGCGCATGTGCGTGCACGTGGACATATATACACACACACCCCAAAAACAAAGTTAAAAAGACAGCTGGAGTGGTTCAGTGCTGGCGTGCCGTGCCTCCAGGTGCAAGGCTCTAATTCCACACCCACTATGCAGACCACACTCACTATGCAAACCACACCCACTATGCAGGCCACACCCACTATGCAGACCACACCTACTATGGAGATTCCAGAAATGAAAGACAGCAAGGGTGGGAGATGAACCTCGTATACCTGGGGCCTGCTCCGTAGTGATGATGGTGGTGGTGACGATGGTGGATGTGGTGGTCTCCTGGCTCTCCTCGGAGGCGGACCCGGTCAGCTCATTGTCACCCTTGTCCAGTGGGCTACCGGGGCTGCTGTCGTCGGGGGCCTGTGCGGGCTGTGGGCTGTCTGGGAGTGTGGTTGCCAGAGCTATGGTGAAGGGTGTGATCTGCAGTGGCGCAGGCGCCGTGGGCTGCTCGGGGTTCCCAGGCTCACGTGGCTTCGTGGTGGCCGAGGCAGGAGACCCCAGTCTCTGCAGAGTTGTTGGGGTAGCCAAAGGCCTTAGCTGCCTCCGGGCCGAATTGAGTTGCTTCAGGGATGGCAGACCCTTCCTGAGGGCCGGGGTGTGCTGGACACTGACCTCGTCGGGGAGTGCAGGGGGCAAGGACTCTTCCAGTGTTTCCAGTGTTTCCCGGGATGGCAGGGGATCTGGGGCTGCTGATGTCACCCCCTCTTCCAGGCTGCTCTCCAGCGAGGCAGGAGGCAGGAGGTAGGCAGTGGAAGGGTGCGTGTCTCCCTCTGGACCACCATCTGAGGAGAAGAGAAGAAAATACAACATTAGCTTGGGTCTGCCTCACCTCCTGTCAGCTTTAGAGGGTAGCTTCTAAAGATGACACCCCAGACTGGACGGGCAGCCATTAGTTAACCACCCTCTCTTCCCCTTCTTCTCCTCATTCCTTGAAGAGTTGAGGTGCTGGGACCCAGAAAGCATTAAGACGGCAGAAGCTAAGGGCACCAGCCTCATGACACAGGACATTGCAACTGACACAGTTATTTGCTGATTGGTCCTGAGGCAGATTCATGAGGGATGCATGAATACAGGTGGAGGTCTGATGCTGGGGATGAGGTTTGCCACAGAGCAGGGAGCTCGAGGGAGGAGCTCTAGGGCCAGAGCTGGCAAGGGTGGGTGGGACCTGTGGACCTTGCTAGTCTGTGGCTTACTTCTAACCTTGAGAGTAAAACATGGTCCTTGAATTATAGTGGAGTTATGACACAACAAGTCGCAACAGTTGCAAGCTGAAGGCACAGAGAGTACAGCAGATCACCCAGCTTCACAGCTTAGCAGCCGTGTGTCCTGGAGTGAGTGCTCCCCGGTTTCCCTGTTGACCACATGTGACCAGGACACAGCTGCCTGCAATGAGTGCCCAGTGTCACCAGAGAAGAGAGTGCCCAGGCAAAGATCTGAACTTCATCAGAGAATGTCTGAAAGGAGATAGCTTTGGAAGCCTCACTGGTTTTTCTTTCAATGGTTTAAAATCAGCACTTTCTTTTTTCTGACAGAGGATTAACTTCCATACCATCTATAAGGAACAGATAATGGCACAGCAGAAGATACCTGGTCTTGTAGGGAAAACTTGGACTTTACTATGCCTCTTTACGAATTCAAACTTTGGAATCAAACTGCCAAGTACCTTCCTTCTTTCCTCCTCCTCTTCCTCCTCCTCTTCCTCCTCTTCCTCCTCCTCTTCCTCCTCCTCCTCCTTCTCTTCCTCCTCCTCTTCCTCCTCCTCCCCTTCCTCCTCCTCTTCTCTTCCTCCTCTTTTTCCCTCCTCCTCTTCCTTCTCCTTCTCTTTCTCCTCTTCCTTCTCCTCCTTCTCTTCTTCCTCCTCCTCTTCCTCCTTCCCTTCCTCCTCCTCTTCTTCCTCCTCCTCTTCTTCCTCCTCCTCCTTCTTCTTCTCTTGTTCCTCCTCCTCTTCTGCCTCCTCTTCCTCCTCCTCCTCTTCCTCATCCCCCTTCTCCTCCTCCTCCTCCTCTACTCCTCTTTCTCTTCCTCTCCCTCTTCCTCTCTCTCTCTCTCTCTCTCTCTCTCTCTCTCTCTCTCTCTCTCTCTCCCTCCTTTTAGAGACAAGGTCTCCTATAGCTCCAGTGGGCCCCAAACTTGCTGCATAACTGAAGATGAACTAAATTTTCTGATCCCTCTGCCTCCACTTCTGGGGCACTAGGATCACAGGTATGTGTCGTCATGCCCAGTTTTATTTAGGTGGTGTCAGGGCTCAAACCCAGAGCCTCACATGCTAGGTAAGTACTCTACCCACTGAGCCATACCCCAGCCCCAAAGTTGTAAGTTTCCAGTGATGACTTGGTCCTGTGTGACCCAAACCCTCCCAGAAACCTGGCTTGTTTCATTTTGAATGAGGAGAGTTACTGCAGACACACACATTAAAGAGAGCAGCCCATCCATGTGCCTAGCACTACACCCAGCAGAGAAGAAAAGCATCAGGCAGAAGGAAAAGGAGAGAGCGTTAGAGATATCGAGAAAGAAGACAACATGTTTTGGACAGAAGTGAAATAAAGGTACAGCAGCTTGTTGGGTATTTTCCTCATTGCTATGGTCAAATGTCCAACAAGAGGCTGTGCAGGGATGAAGGGCTTTCTTTGGCTCAAGGTTGAGGTTCTGTCCACCAAGCAAGGAGGCAAGGTTGTGAAGCTGGCTGAGGACTAGAAAGCATGAGAGCTGCTGGAGAGAGAGAGAGACAGAGAGAGACAGAGAGAGACAAACACATAGACATACACAGATAGAGACAGACAGACAGACAGAAGCACACACAGAGACAGAGACACAGACACATAGACA